CTGTATTATTTCTAAATAAACCACAAAACATTCATTTTGTAGGTTTTCAGTTTTGCTTATAAATCAAGATGAGGCAGTAGATAAGTCATGGAAAAAGACAAGAAAACAGACAAGTCAGTTGCCTGTATAGATGGCCTCTGATTCTGCCTTGATGATGAAGCAGAAGTGTTCAACATTTACCTGCTAAGAAGCTTATGAAGATGTAGGTTCCACAAAGGAATGTAAAGAGCAATAACTAGATGTGGAATAACAATGGCAAGCTCTTCCATTCAAGCTTAAACTGTAACCTCTTCTTTTAAGCTCATTTAATAAAGGCAAAGTCTACATTGAATTCTGGTAGGTTCATAAACTTCTCTTTAGTAATTCCCTTAACTGGCCATTAGATTTTTAATAACATACTTAAAACTCCTACTAATCACAGGTCAATGATGGCCTTTATCATAACACTTTATAAGATGGATTTTCTCCCACACCACCTCAAAATTCATTTCTTGAAAAACTGACAACTCAATACTTGAAAGCAGATCCCCAATGAGTGTGTTGTCTAAAATGACTTAAAACAATTCCATAATGCCACCAGCAGAGGTCACACCAAAGAGAAGTGTGGCACTTACAATGCCATCTTCTGCCATTCTTTTTTTTTTGGTACCAGAGATCGAACTTGGGACCTTGCGCTTGGGAGGCATGAAGTGGAACCATGGAGAAGAACAGACAGGTCTCAGGCGCACGAGGATTCAGAGGGGCCATTTAAATATGGAGATTATCAATGGCTAATATATTCAATGACAGGCCTGTGGGCTAACATATTCAGTGATTAGGGGCCTACATACCCCTTATAGCTTTTCCTTCAAACAGCAAATATAAGAACTGCCCCCCCCAAAAAAAAGAAAAAAAAAAAAAAAAGAAAAAGCCCACTGTAAAAGTCTCTTAGGTATTTTCAACAGTTTCTGAATTATCTGTAGGAAGCTCTGATTTAGTTGTATATAGTTTGATATATGTGTCCACCATTAAATCCAGATCATATTTTATATCAAAATTTATGTTAAGCAAAGCCAAGTTACTTGACCTTTGGTCTGTCAAAGTGTGCCTCAAGTATGCTTTGAGATGCTTTCATCCATTTTCATAGCGCACATTCTCAACTTTCATCACAGGAAGAATACACAGGACCTTCAGCAAGGCATACACATTAGGAAAAAACTTAATGTCAGGCAGATGGAGGGCTTCATAAATGGTAGATGGAAGCTCTATGTCTTTCCCTCTGTGTTTCCATTTGATTATCCAACAATGAAGTTCAGCTGAGAGTGTATCAGGATTGGGTAAGTCACTTCTGTACATGTCAGCATGATGTTCCTCTGATATGTTGAATTTGAGCTGTCTCATGACTGAGGGTACCAGAGATAAGCATTTAAGAGCTTTGAGATGCTGTTCTGAGAATATATCTTTAAGTTCCTGAATAATGTGCTCTACTGTTGGGACACTCAGGGTTTCTTTATAGTAACTCTCAGAGGTTAATTGAGATTCCAGGTTACCTTGTTGAGCCCTATGAAATTTACCAGGGAGTTTCATTTGAATATCAAGTTTGGTTGCCAAATTTGTGGCTTCCTCAAACCAAAACTCATGATAAACTTCAATATTTTCCATCACTTCACTGAGTGAGTGTAATACAGCAGTTAAACTACTGGCTGCAAAGAAAACGTCAGAAGTTTGTCCCTGGAGATTTTTCCCAAAGGCCCTTGTAAAAGATAAGACATTTTTAAGAACAACAATGGTAACAATAAAATCAAAATCTGTTACTGCACTACAGAGTACAAATGCTTGGCCAGCTATACAGTTATTCCACCTAATATTTGTGTCACTATTTATACCATCAAACATAAAACAAGTGCTTCCAGGAGGTCCACTAAAACTTCAAAAGCATCATGCCTGCCTGTCCACTGAGAATGACATATTTCCTTCAGTTCTTTACCCCTTTCTTCACTGTT